AGATTTTTTATTTCAAGTTAATGTTATATCTACTTATTAAAAAAAAAAAAAAAATTACTTTAAAATTTATTAATTAAATTGATGAAAAAAGAAAAAGAAACAAATCATTAATACTCGAGTTTCATTCTGTATTATTAAACAAAAATGATATGTTTTTGTGTTATTTGATAATCAAAGTAGTTGCTTATTAAAAGTTTTTAAAATTAGGTTAAGTTAATAACAGATAGATGTGAATAGAAAAAAAAGAAGGTAACAGAAACTCTAACACACACATACAGTTGTAGATTTTCTGCATTTTGTGTACGGTTTAATTTTTAATGACAGACGAAGAGCAACTACACTGTACTCGCCTTTACCAAAGGACATCTAAATCCATTTGCTCCTGTATGCATAGGAAGTTTCAACTTCTAGTTTACCGGTAGTAAACATCCGTTATGAGGAAGTGCACCTCATTAATATTTCAAGAAAATCTTTCTTCATAATCAATCCTCTTTATAAAATTCGTTGTATACATTTAAAAAATATTATCTAATATCTGCGTTCTCTATTTTCAAAATTTATCTCAATTTTGAATAAAAACATTTTCTAAAATCATTAAAGGAACTTAAAAATAGTTAAAAAAAATAAATAAAATAAAACTATAAACGTAAAATTCAATAAATGTTTGAATAGTTTTGTGTGGCATACAAAAGTATTTCCAAAAAGCGTGGTTGGCATTCGGAACAGAAAGGAATTCAATTTAAGAGATATAATTGGTTCCGCTGGCTAGATTCAAAGCTCGCGATGAAAAAACTAATTGCAAAAGAACTCAAGAATTATTAGAACGATCAATTTAATCAAAAACTGATTCAAATATTGGTTTTAATACTACGTTTTCCTTTTAGAGGCGAAAAAATAATAATAATAACAAAAAAAAAAAAAAAAAAAAAAAAGGTAAAAAATTTTATACACTGAACATTGTAATTAGAAATTAGTGGCTTTTTTTAGGATCCTTGATGTAAGAATATTGAAACTAGATTTCACCCTAATAACACAAGATATCTTGGGATATATTGATAATATCCCGCAGATATCCTAGGGATGTCCTATGGATATCAAAAGGATCTCTTAAGGATATCCAAAAAATCGGCGGTTTGGATATCCTTTGGATATCCCATGAATATCTGAGGATATCCACAGGATATCTTCTGGATATCTCTATAGACTTTCATAAATGTCCTCCAGATATCCCATAGATATCGTCAGGATATCCCACGGATATCATCAAGATATCCCATAGATATCATCCAGATATCCCATAGATATCGTCAGGATATCCCACAGATATCATCAAGATATCCCATAGATATCGTCAGGATATCCCACAGATATCATCAAGATATCCCATAGATATCGTCAGGATATCCCACAGATATTTTCAGGATATTCTCAGTATATCTTCTGGATGTCAAAAAGATATTCTCAGGATACTGTTTTTAAAGTCATTATGAGACTACGAGTGAGAATATTCTAAGAATTAAATTTTATATAAATAAAATAAAATGCAACTTGTTTTTCGAGAAAGTTGTTTAATTTGAAAAATTATTAACTAATTTTTTTTGTCATTCGTGATTCATTCCTTTTATTCATATGCTTAATATTGTCGGAAAATAAATTTGCTTTAAACAATATAAATTCTTCACCGCAAATAACGAATAACTATTAATATTAATTATACATTAAGTGCATGAGTTTATTTAAAAACTTTGAAAAATGCGTTTCAAATCTTCATTTAAAATAAATTAGAAGCTCATAAGATTTTTGTTTTTATTATATTATTATTATTCATTATATTAGCTTAACAATTTTAACCTTTAAAAATATATGTTGACATATTAAATATCCCGTGAATATCCTAAGAATATCCCAGGGACATCCTGAGGATATCCCATGGATATCCTGTGATATAATATCCAATAGATATTTTGTGGATTTCTTAGGGATATCTTGTGGATATCCTATGGATGTCCTGTTGATGTCCCACAGACCGGCGGTTTGGATATCCTAGGGATATCCCAAAATATCCTGGGGACCATTCTGGGATATCGACCATTGATATGGATATCCTATGGATATCCTAGGGATATCCTAGGGATATCCTTTTGTTATGAGGGCAATAATTTATTATTTTCTGAAAAATAAATTTTAAATTTGCTATTAAAAAGTTGAAGAAACTTACAATTGTAATTATAGAATTGAGCATAATAGTTAATTAATCAAAGTATTTTAAAGTGATGTAACATGATATTAAAAGGAAAACATTATGAGATTTGACAACAGGCATTCTTCATTAACTACAAAAGAGATTGAATTGCGATAAGAGAGCTGAAAACGAAATGCTTTTATCTTGGACCAAGAAGGCTTGAGACTCTTGTTATTCATTACGGGAGCTGAGAAACTCTTGCTAACCTAACCTCCCTCTCCACTTTCAACTTCAGCTTCTCACTAGCAAGTTTATTTCTCTCTGTAATATTTCGAAATACTCGCAATCTAGAGCACTACCATATCTTTCTTCAAACTACATCTTTGCAACACCACTTTTTCATCTCCACCTATTCAAAATAATGAGGTGCTTATCTCCTTTTTATCCTCTTGTACGTGTAAACGCTTTTGATAGAAAGTGGATGAACCGAATAATTTACAATTAACTACAAAATCTGTGAGTACATTTTCCCATCAACATATATATAAAAAATTCTTTATTTTTCTTTATAAAACTCTTTTAGTGTGTACGAATAGTAAAGAATTTTCCTTTCAAAAAAAAAAATATACTTAATTGCATAGAAAGTAGAGTTGAGAAAAAAAAAACCTTTTGGGTATATACTTTCTATGATTAAACTTCAAGCTGCCCTGTGATCACTTTTAAATGGAATTAAATTCCAACTCCAGGGGATCTGGAATTATTCAAGCGTATAGGGAATTAAAAATAATGTAATCGAACTGGACAAGGAAATGTGAAGACATGGCAAAAAAAAAAAAAAAAGTAATTCAAAAAATGGCTTCAAGAGAGGAAACTTTTGCTGCAAATGGTTTATCGATCTTGAATTAGCCAGCTTCTAGCATGAAGAATTTCTTTAACGATGGTTCAGTAATCTACACTTCAGAGATCATTCAAGCAGTAATACACCGGCCAAAATAGCCGCAATTTTGGAAAGTAGCTGACTTCTATATTTTTTCTTGCAAATGATACTTTTATAATATATTTTCTGGATTATTAAACTAAATCCATTATTTATTTTAAAGAAAATAAAATAGCGTCTCTAGGAAATAAAAATTAAATTAACAGAAGCCTAGGCAGTTATTTTTATGTTTTAGTCATCTTAGACTAAGAATAGAAACTAGATTAATTATTATTAAAGTAATTTTTTTTTGTTCTAAAATTTAAGTACCAAATTGCTCCCTGATTGATTGATACAGAAACAATGTAGACTATTTTCATCGCCGTCATGTCGTGTCGCTTTAACACTTTGTTCCCTTGACATGACAAGCAATTAACGCCTTTTCAATATTATAACAAGTGAATTAAAAGAAAATTATATATATAATTTTTTTTTTAGTTAATTTTATACATCGTATATATATATATATACACACATATATATGTGTGTGGTTTCAAAATGAGGGAAAACTAGCATCAGGAAAATTATTTCTGTTGAAATTAAAATTTTAAGAGAGCTATATATGAAATATATCTTGTATCTCATTTGTAGCAATTTAATCCTGTAAGTTTCTGTTGGTGTCCCATACCACCGTAATACATCTCTCATCCTTTTGAGATCAATCTCGTACCTCAACGAACATGCCACAACCTACTCCCGACCGGCTACTTACCAAACTTCATCTCCCTCGCGAAATCATTTCATGTCTTCTCATTTGTTGCTTTTCACAAACTCTCTCTTTCACTCACTCACTCACTCACTCTCTTCTAGTTCAGAAGTAAGCTAGCAAGCATTACTTTAGCGGTGTTTTACACACGTAAAAGACGCTTGAGGAAATGTTTCTGCTTCAAGAAACTCGACTCAGTTTACCCTTTTTAGTTTTACGAATGTTCCAGTCGTAAATCCCTTTTCAGCTTCATTCACAACATATATTATATAAATTGCTTATAATATACTGAATAATATAAATAAAAAAATGATTTTCTTATAATAATTATTCTTTCATCAATATTTTAATTATCTGTCTATAAAATTTTTTTGATTTTTCACAACTAGTAAAATTTTTTATTATTTCTTCATCAAGTTTTGTCTAATAAAATATCAAAGCCTCATGAATATTGTAAAAAAATTTAATTAATAACTTCTTTGAAAGTATCAAGTGTATTTAATATATATATATATATATATATATATAAAGCATTAATAAATTGCAAAAAAGAATCTTCAATTTAAGGAAGTTGGTTGGCTTCACACAATGAAGCATTTCTCCCCCCCCCACATTTTTTTTTCTTACCGTCTTTAACTATTAAATTATATAAAAGAAATGGATAGTATGAAACGACCCTTAATTTTACACCGCAAGTATAAGAACCAAGATATAACTTCTTGGCTTTTTCTCTTGGCTAAATTTACAGACCTAACAGGTCGTAGTCTTTATATTTTCCTCAGACTCTCTACAACTTGTATTTTATCTTGTTCCTCAGTATACTTCTTATCTTTCAACGATCCTTGTATTTGTACCTAACAATTGAGCTATACATTTATTGTTGATACAACGAAAATAAATAGAGTATATACAAGTCCGCAATATGTCCATCGAATTGAGTTTGCGATAAGGCTTTTGTGGTTCAGGATATTGAAGAAAATATATATATATATATAAATGTATATAGATATATACACACAAAGAGATTTTATATACAAAGAGCCCATTTTTCACAAAAATAGGAAATGGTTAAATAAAAATCAGAAAAAAATGCACTAGTAAAGAACATTATATTGAATAAAAAAAAAAATACTTACCAGTTACATCTAAATAGCCAACTTGACTTTTCATTGGATCTGTATTTATTTGACACATGTACCATCCTCGATCTGTTTCTCTGACCTCACGAATATGCAAAATCCAAATTCTATGATCGGTGTGTGTTACTCCAATTCGATAATTTTTTGTTATTACTTGCTTGGCTATAGTGAGGATTGTTTGTGTATCCACTCGAAGCCATGCAACCTAAAAAAAGATTAATTTTTTTCTATTTTAAAATTGTTTTTCAATAAATTGATTTCTATTTATATAGATATATATAAACTATGAAATTTCGTTGCCAAATTGATTCTAATAAAATACAATAATGTAAAACCACCAGACATAAGAAAGTCAAAAATGGCTTAGTCATGAAAAATTCCATTTTGTGTGATAATATCTGGGCAATAACTTTTGGTACCGGATTTTTATTATTCGAGATAGTCAAATATAATGGATAAAGAAACGGTAGAGTGTGCGCTTAGAAAGACACGAGAGTATATATATAGTGGTAGTATGATCTCAGAAAGTAGTCTCGTTTCACGTCCTCTCATGTCGTTTGCACGTGTTAGCTAAACTTTTGTTATACTCATGCATTTTTGTCGTATCTGTTTTGAGTGTGATTATAAAGATTTTTTGAAAAATTATTTATTTTTAGAAAAATTTTTATAATTATCAATATAAAATGTACTTTACAATCATTTAGATTTTAAAAAGGCAGTTAAAATCCTCATGGAAAAAAAATTATTTAGCTTTAGTAGCAAATATGTATTAGTTGAAATCAAATTAGCTGGTTGTGTAAACGATTTAGGTGATACATTTAATCTGATAAAGATAAATCTCTTCCTAGACAAAAAATAACGAAAATGAGGAATCATTTAACTTTTTTTCTCCGTACTCCCCCTAATAACACAAGATATCTTGGGATATATTGATAATATCCCGCAGATATCCTAGGGATGTCCTATGGATATCAAAAGGATCTTTTAAGGATATCCAAAAAATCGGCGGTTTGGATATCCTTTGGATATCCCATGGATATCTGATGATATCCACAGGATATCTTCTGGATATCTCTATAGACTTTCATAAATGTCCTCCAGATATCCCATAGATATCGTCAGGATATCCCATAGATATCGTCAGGATATCCCACGGATATCATCAAGATATCCCATAGATATCGTCAGGATATCCCACAGATATTTTCAGGATATTCTCAGTATATCCTCTGGATGTCAAAAAGATATTCTCAGGATACTGTTTTTAAAGTCATTATGAGACTACGAGTGAGAATATTCTGTGAATTAAATTTTATATAAATAAAATAAAATGCAACTTGTTTTTCGAGAAAGTTGTTTAATTTGAAAAATTATTAACTAATTTTTTTCTCATTCGTGATTCATTCCTTTTATTCATATGCTTAATATTGTCGGAAAATAAATTTGCTTTAAACAATATAAATTCTTCCCCGCAAATAACGAATAACTATTAATATTAATTATACATTAAGTGCATGAGTTTATTTAAAAACTTTGAAAAATGCGTTTCAAATCTTCATTTAAAATAAATAAGAAGCTCATAAGATTTTTGTTTTTATTATATTATTATTCATTATATTAGCTTAACAATTTTAACCTTTAAAAATATATGTTGAGATATTAAATATCCCGTGAATATCCTAAGAATATCCCACGGACATCCTGAGGATATCCCATGGATATCCTGTGATATAATATCCAATAGATATTTTGTGGATGTCTTAGGGATATCCTGTGGATATCCTATGGATGTCCTGTTGATGTCCCACAGATCGGCGGTTTGGATATCCTGGGGACCATTCTAGGATATCGACCATTGATATGGATATCGTAGGGATATCCTTTTGTTATGAGGGCCATTTGAGATTTTAAAACAAAATCTTGTCAAGATAAGTTACAAATGGAATTGCATACATAAACTTGTTTGTATGTGAATATATACAGGCGAATGAAACGTATATAGCTTTAAAGGTGCAATGGTAGCCAATCTTTCAATGTACCAAGGTAAACGTAAAACCTCGGAGCTTAGAACTTACACTTACGGTAAACTCATTTATCACAAATGTCTCGGCTGGATTATAGAATTTTTCATTATCAAACAAGACACTTTAAAGATTGATTACGCAAAAAAAAAAAAACAAAATTAAATATATGATGAAAAGAAACAACCAATTTTATTTGTCAATTCCAGTCGGTCGCCATATACGAGGAATCTACTTTTTTCACTTATTTCTTTTTTTGTGTTTGTTTTATATTTGCGCGCCCTGAAGCAATATATATTTCACGTATCTATCTTCAAAGACCGCATGGATAATGGAATTGCCTTTTAGGTTCTACATTTATACACCAGATACCTTTCAGTTTATAATTTCTGAAGTGATACATCCAACAATTTCACCTTAGGCTATTCTCGACTTGCTTTACTCAAGTTTCATATTATATCAGGTACATGGGACAGATAGAGGGTCGCTTGTAGTTTTTGACAATTTCGCCTGGGGTTCCTGTAAACAGGAAAATGATCTTTCCTAACTTTGCTTTAGGCAATACTATAGATTCAACTTTGTTTAGTGTCAAAATGTCTTTTTGTGTAACAAGTCGTTTGGATTCTCACAAGTAAGCATTAGCAACTTCATCACTAGATCTAAGATCCTTTTTTTTTTGGCTCAAAGTTAGTGGGGGGATTAAATACTTTTACTGTAAGTCTGTTTTCCGATTCAATTTTCTTCAATTTAGGGAGATTTAACATTTTATATATATATAAATCTGTTCTAAGAAAGTTTCCAGTGAAAAAATTTCCTTTTCTTTTTAATAGATGGTTCAATTAAATTCACTGAAAATATTTCATTGTTAAGTATTAGGTCACGTGTTATACATGTAAATTCTTCAATGATCCCAGATAGCACGGAAACTTGCAGCAAGCTTACGGCAAGCTTACCGTGCAAGCTTGTCAAGCTTGTCTGAGCTAGCGAAATGTCTCACCCAGAGCAAGCTTGCCGTGAAAGCTTGCCGTGAAAGCTTGCTGTAAGCTTTCCAGGAAAGGTTGCTACAAGATTGCTGCAAGCATACTAAGAATGATTGCGGTAAGCTTGCCGTGAAAGATTGCTGTAAGCATAAAAACAGTCGAGTTAGTTAGTGTCTGTCGAACCCAGGTTCAATTTCCAGTCCCCTCAAATTTGTTTCGAAAATTTTCTCGTTAAGTTTCCAAATGAAAATAAACAGGACATAATTAATAATAATAAACGTCACAAGGATTTTCAAATTTAGAAAACAAATAAATTATTTTTTAATTTAAAATGTATTTTTTAAAAATTGCAGCAACCTTGCAGCAACCTTTCCAGAAGCTTGTTGAAATTCTCCTGCAACCTTACCTAGCAAGCTTACAACAATCTTTCATGGCAAGCTTGCCGCAATCATTCTTAGTATGTTTGCAGCAATCTTGTAGCAATCTTTCATGGCAAGATTGCAGCAACCTTTCCTGGAAAGCTTACAGCAAGCTTTCACGGCAAGCTTGAACTGGGTGAGACATTTCGCTAGCTCAGACAAGCTTGCAGCAAGCTTGACAAGCTTGCACGGTAAGCTTGCCGCAAGTTTCCGTGCTATCTGGAATGTTTCTTAAACACCTTTTATATTCGTCTGATTTTGTAAATCGAATTTGTTATTGATCCAAATATCCTAAACAAAAGCCTACTCTCTATGTTTAAATAATTCCTTTAGTAACCAAGCAGCTTTAATAAAATTTAATGCTGTAATCAATATCGTCAGAATTTGGCCGAAGGATGTAAGACCATAAGGGATCGAAGTTTTTCTAGTCGCTCCCCATTTCAAAGCTATGCTTGTTGATGACTAAGCGAATTATTATTATTATTTGCACTTAATTTGTAATATAAGTTCTCTTAGTTTGATCTTTGTTTCCCCGTTCGATTTGTTATTTATTAATTGTTAACTGGGTTGAGGAGAAGGACCTTTGCGGTCATAAAATGTTCTATTAGATGGTCTGTTCTGGGATGAGTAATGGGGATGACTGAGTCTCATGGCAAGAAGAATTAAATTCGTGTCCTGTACGGAACTTGGAATAATAAGTAAGAAGGAGTGACGACAGAAATTGTCATAAGGAATACACCGAAATGACGACAGTATACTGTAAAAAGAAGGTACTAAAATAGTACCGATTTTAGGTATTAAAATAGAACCAAAAGGCAATGTAGTACCTAAAGTTGGTATTAATTTAATACCTCTCGTTTTACAGTGTACCGTCATAGTATATCCCCTCCATCGACATAGACGAGGATGATGATAGCCATTATTCTCGGAATATCCTCACACCGATATACATGGTAGGTTAATAATAACAGCTAGGGTTAAAGATTCGGTTGTGGACACCCCTGCATAACTTTTGACAAAAACAAATGAATCAAATCTTACAAATGTCAAATATGTACTATGTCCGTACGTATAGTTTTTTCTGTGAAAATAGCAGGAGGAACAGTTACCCGTACTTTGTGCTGTGAGGAAATTAGTTTTTTCATACGAGTTAATTGGCACAAAAGTTTTTTTTTCATACCATGTAAATTCACGGCCACAAATTCTATCAAATGCATTAAATGTGATGAATTTGAAATATGCCAAAATGCGTACCAGCTACTAACAATGCAAACATTGTAACGAGACTGAAAAATGATATTTTCTTTTGTTGTTTTGCCGCTAAAAATTTTTAAAATAAATAAAATTGTAACTTTTATTCATATCGGAGGTGATTTTAATTCATTTTTTCATATTTTTAGCAAATTTTTAAAGCATGTCAATAATTAACGTGATCATAATCTAAAAATTAAATCAGTTGATTGAGAGACAATCTATGCACATGTCTTTCTTTATTTGCATCAGAAAACTAAGCTCTAAATTGACTTTTAAACTTTGCTGTAACTGAAGACCCTGGAGAAATAAAGGCTTGACACTTGACTAACTACTACTGGATATAGCTACGTCACTCTCGTGAAACTAAGAATCTGATGGATTTATCAGAAGCAGATATTTCTCACCTAATCCAACTGCTGTTTACTTTATTCTGTGTCGTATAGTTATTGGATAATTTATTTAATATTAATTTATATCGAATTAACTCTGATTACTGAATTGTATGATTGAACTGTTTTGTATGATTATCCG